TGCTTTGAAGTCTTGCTGCCTCATGAATGGATAACATGTGTGATGGGATTTCATTAAGATCAGGATAAGAGATAGTTCCAAGAGGTTCAAGCTCGTCTGATGTATAACAAACATTAATAATGCCAAATTTACATCCTAGTTGATATTTTTTGCCAATTATATCAACTACTTTGCAAGGAAGCGTAAGACGGTCAGTGCCAAATCGATCGATTTTGGGAACAGTTATTTGCACAAGATCACCAACATGATAATCAATGATTTTTCTTTTTTTTGTCATTTGATTTACTATCTTTTCAGTGTAAAGCTGAAGATCTCGTCGTGCTGCGCTTCGTAATAATTCATGTGAAGTATTTGTAATATTTTTAAGAACTGAATTGTTTCCTATTAGCATGGCAATTTTAGGATTAATAAATTTTTTAAGAATAAAAAATTTATCATTATGCATGTTAAATAATATTATAAACTTGCCTAAGCATGAAATACAGTCATTAACCAGTTGAGATTCTGGAATTTTACCCAAAATAGAAATATAAATTAGTAATAAAAAAAAATAAATAAATAACACAGTAATGAACTTGCCTAAAATGCTACTACTATTATCCGGCTGCCAGCGTAGGCTTTTTCCTGAGAATAGAAATAGAAATATTTAAATTATTTAAGTTAAATACTGATATTGATATAGAAAAAAAAATTTAATTTGCTTACCATCTGGCTTCCGGTATGGGTTTTTACCTAAGAATAGGAACATAAGTAACATAAATTAACTAAGTAAAAAGGGCTTATAAAAATAAAAATAAAATAATATGAACTTACTTAAAGATCTGCTACTTTTATCTAATCGTGAACATGAAGGTTCTAAGCTTTCATCTGAAAATAAAGGATTTTTAAGTTTGTAAAAAAAAAAAAAAAAAAAAAGATATCAATGTAGTAATATGAACTTACTCAAAGATCCGTCACCACCTTTATCCAATCGCAAACGTAAGGTTCTGAGATTTCATTTAAAAATAAAATTTTTTGTAAACAAAAAAAAAAAACAAAAATTATATGTAGTAATATGGACTTACCCAAAGGTTCGCTACCATTATCCAATTGCAAACGTGAAGATTTCAAACTTTCATCTAAAAATAAACATTTAGGTTTGTAAAAAAAATAAAATAAATAAAAAATAAAAATAAATATATAGTAATATGACTGACTTATAAAGCTGCTACTATTATCTAATTGCCATTGCGAAGGTACTGAGCTTGTATCTAAGAATAGGAATATTATTAAATGACACTATAATAAAATTGAACTTATTAAACTAATCAGTAGTATGAACTTACTCGTAGAGCCACCGATATTGTCCAGTTGCTGTTGCGAAGATACTGAGCTTGTATCTAAGAATAGAGATATTATTAAATGACACTAATAAAATTAAACTGTATTAAACTAATCAGTAATATGAACTTACTCATAGCAATAGAGCCACTACTATTGTTCAGTTGCCGTTGCAAAGTTCCTGAGCTTATATCTAAAAATAGTGATATTAGTAAATAATACTATAATAAATTAAACTGTATTAAACTAATTACCTGAAATATTATCATTACAAACTAATTGATCATGTAGTTCTAAGTTTTTATCTATAAATTTAAATATAAGTTAACAGTAAGTAATAAGATAAATTGTACCAATTGTAAACTTCTGAACTTACCTAAAGTATTGACATCACTGTTTATTTGTTGCTCCGGACTTTTACCTACAAATCTAAAATGTAAGTTAACAGCAAAAATAGTATAAATAGATCGTATCAAATATAAACTTATCTAAAATATAAGCATCATATCGATGATATGAAGGCCCTATGCTTTCATCTATTAAAATATAAGTTAGCGGTAATAAGAATAAAATATTGTAAAATATATTAACTTACCCAAAGTATTATCGCCACTATCCTCTCGATAGTATGAAAGTTCAGGGATTTTATCTACAAATTTAGAATGCAAGTTAATAAATTAGGAAAGAGAGAGAGAATATAAAAAAAATATTAATTTACCCCACGTATAATCATCATTATTTGACTCAGAGTTTTTTTCTAAAAATTATAAAATTTAAGTTAATAATGTAATAAAATTATTGAGATTATAACAAATGCTAAGTGCCCAAAGTATTATTGCTATGTTGGTGCGAAACATCAAAGTTATTGTCTAAAAAATTGTGAATGCTATTAATGAAAAAAATTTAACAAGATAAATTGTTATGAATTTAATTTTACCTGCATTGTCCAGTTCCTCAGTTAGTGATTCTATACATTGGTCTTAAAAAATTAATAAATAATTATAGAATCAGGAATTATAGCAATTATATAAAACCTTACCATTTATGTTATTATCCAAATCCATAATAGAATCGCTCTGAATATCAATAGTACTCAGAATTTCTTCTTCTTCACGAATATTTCTTTCAAACAAATCATTGACTAATGTATAATTTCTGCAGGGTTTACCCCTATAAACAAGTTCGTAAAGGGTCTTCTTATGTGCTTGACACTATGAGGTGCTCATAGCAGTGATAACAAATCGTAAGCCGACTGACCAGTCATCACAACCTGTTTCTTCCTTCCATTTGCCTATTTTTTGTTCCAATATTCCGTTTGCCCATTCTACAAGTCCTTGGGACTGAGGGTGCCTAGGGCACCTATTTATGATTTTTGCTAATGGCCATAATTCTATTAATTCTTTAATAATTTTCACACAAAATTCTTTTCCATTGTCTGATTGAAGTATTACAGGAGATGATCCTATTAAATGGAAAAGATCGAACAGGTAGGCTGCCACTTCAACTGCTCTTTTAGAGGTAAGAGCTTTTGCCAAAAAAATCACGAAAAGTGTTCGTGCATGTGGCATATGTATTTAAACTCTCTGTCCGGATTAAAGGTCATGTCTATTAGATCAATTTGGAAAAAAAAAAGATAAGAGTAATAAATAAAACAAATAAAATAAAGTGCTTGAGGACATCCAATTGTGAAAAAAAAAAATAAATAAAATAAAGCAAATAAAATATGCTACTTGAACATGTAACAAAAAATTTTTTGCGATGATTGGCTTGGCAGCTAAAGGATGAAACATTGGTTTGCGAACAGCACATATAGTACAATTATTGATGAATTGTTCAATGATGTCTTGTTTCACCCAGCCCCATCTTTCTCTTATGGTTTTCCAGGTTTGTTTTTGACCTCCGTGTTGAGTTATTTGACCGTGAACTTGACAAAGTGTCTCATACATATTTTCAGTAATCAACACTGGATTATTGGTCATCTTTACAATAATCCTATAGTCACCAGAAACTATTTCCTCAAGTCGAAACTGTTTTTTGACCCAAACTCTCATATTTTTATTGTAAAGTAAGGTATTTTGAGGATTTAATAAAATATGCTTTATTTTATTGTATAATTCACGGTTAATTAAAGTCTTTTCACGTTTTGATTCTAGAAGATTAGAAACATAATTTTCAAAAATCTTATTAAGGGTACTTCTACTAATAAAATTATATTCCATTTTTGAAGGCGTTGAAAATATGTATATAGTCATGTTAATATAACAACTTTTGATAGAATAATTCTTAGAGCATAGTACGATAACACAATGAAGTATGTAAATTTTATTTGGAGAGAAGAAAAAATCAGTTTGCTGAGCTCACGATTTATTTTTTATTCGATTTTACTGCGCTTTAGATTTATTTAATTATTGTATAATGAAACAATTACTAATATAGAAATTGCATTATTTTCCAAGTAAGTATTACAAATAAATATTTAATATCCGAATTTTTTTTTATGCAAATCATCTTGCCTTAGGTGATGACTGAGGTACCTCAGGTAATCGATCGACATGTTACGCATCTCATATGATGATCGACACCTGAGGTGTCTCGGTTGTCACCTGAGGCAAGAACCGATATGAGGTACAACATATATAAAAGGTTACTACTTTGATCACATATTGCCTCGTACAAATTGATGAATTTGTTTTACAAAGATTGGATTAACTTGGCCTGGCTTAGACAAAAAAAGATGTTTAAATTAAAGTGTTGTAATACTTTAATTTTATCATTACTACTTAATGATATATGTTTTCATATGTTAGATTCTTCCCAAAATTAGAATTTAATACTAAGCCAATCTATCTCGTTTACAATAATTTGGCAGCTAATATCATTAAATAAATTTTGTTCTTTAATTTCTGATAATATTAATAACCAGAGTCGATCTTTAATTTGTAGTAAAACATGCAGCTTATCAAATACATAGTTGAATAAAGGGATTATGTCAAATAGTGATGGTTTTATATAGCCTGGAATATTAAGGTAGCTATTCTTTAGATTGTCCATTGACTTTACTATTCACCAATCTTGTGTTACATCTTCAATTTCCTGCTTAGAGCAGAGACACCAAGCACAAAAATGCATAGAATTTGCAGCATTTAATCCAAAACAAATTGCCAAAAACTTCCAATCACTGCTAAAATAAAACTCAAACTGCTATAAGATATTTGTGATCTCTAATCTATTAATCTTAAAATCTTTAAGATTATTAAGAAATAGGTTTAATATGAATTCAAGAGATTCATACTTTTCAACTCCCGGATATAAAGCAATAATATGATAATAGCTTGGTTTATGGCAATTTTTTTGATTATTAAGAATTGTAAATATAACCATAACATGCTTGACTTTTCATCCAACATTCTGACCATCACCGAAAATTTGCAAATGAATTATCAAATCATGAATTAATAATATATTTTCTTGCAACAAATAAGGAATTATATATCTAAGTATTCCTTTACAATCATGTATCTATAGAATTTATAATGTTTTCAATTATATCGGAATCTAAATTATTAGGTTCATTATCTATATTATTACCATAGTGCACTGACCAAAGTACCCAGGGTACAATACAATCTAACCAAAAAAAAACTTACAAAGTACCCGTGGGTATCTTGATCGGTGACGGGTATTTTGTTAGGGGGATATTTTATTAAGAGGGGTATTTTATATGGGGGATATTATACACGACATATTTTAAGTAATACAAGATACGATATAAAAGAATGTCAATGAACTTCTATACTAAGAATAAAATTTTTTTCTTTAACGTTAAGTACCAGTATCGAACCAGAATAAGAAGCCACTTTAACTTCTTTAAATAAACTTAGTTCAGAGAGAGACAAGGCGTTAGCAGAGGCATTCTGCAGTAACACCACCACCGGCAATAACTACCAAGCTACGACGATAACGATAACATCGTTACCAGTAAAACTTCACAGAAGCAAGCATCAAACCATATAAAAAAAGGATGGTCCGTGGAAACTTTAAAGCTCGACGTGCTCGAGTAATGAAAAAGAACAAAAGAACGTGGTCGGCGCGCAAAAAACTAATGATAATCACATATTATGAAAAAGGATGTAGTAAACGTTCAACTGCTGATAAATTTCAAATAGAACCGAAACAACTTCGGGATTGGATAACCAAAAAATCAGACCTTATGAAAGCTGTGCCTTATATTCAAAAGTTGTCACATGGGGCTTGGCCAAGATATCTTGAACTTGAAGCCGAATTAATTGAATGGTTTCAAAATCTTAGATCTCAGCAAAAAGTCATAAGCCGGTTTATGATTCAAGCCAAAGCTCGCTCTCTGTGTATTACATCTTGTTATCAAAATAAATACAGAGAAATAGCAAGTAATAAATTTTTATAAAAGTGAGTAGACGGCTTTATGTCCAGGAATAATTTAGTAAACAGAAGATGGACTACTGTTGCTCAACGTCTTCCTGAGAGCTATATTGAGGATCAAAATGAATTTTTGTTTCTTGTGCTTTTTAAATGGCATAATTACAACTATTCTCTTTCTTTAATTGGTAATATAGATGAAACCGTCGTAGCTTTCAGCATGTCAAGCACCACACAATTGAAGAAAAAGGCAACAAGACCATATCAATTTTATCAACTAGGCATGAACGTTCAACTTTTACTGTTGTTCTGGCCTGTTTGGCCGATGGTACTAAACTATCCCTATTAATAATTTTTAAACTAGTTAAAGTACCTTGTAAAGAATTTCCTGATGGCATTATTGTACGTGTGAACCCTTCAGAATGGATGAATGAAAATGAAATATTATAGTAGGTGTAATCATTAGGCAATTATCATACATATTACCATTACTATTAATTGCCACAGATGATGCTAAATTGAGTTTGAAAACTCAATTTGAAAATATAAGCTTTATTAAAATCCACCCATACTCTTTTATTAATAACTCTAATCTCTTAACTTTAAAAAAAAAGCTAACAAAAAAGATTCAAAAAATTTTTAAAAAACATAGATTCAAATTTTATCATATGATTTCAGCATCATTTGTGACATTAATTATTGTCGCGAATCATAATGAAACTGGATTAAAATGAAATGAGGGTTTCTATTTAACCCTCTAAAACCCACTTATACTTGTTTGTTATAAACACTACCTAAAACTAACCTCTAACCCTAGCCTCCTAACCCCAAAAAGTTTATCTCAAAAATTTTTATTTTTCAGTGGCTTGTCTATTTTTATATTGTACAATATTTCATTTTGATCCGATTTCATTTTAATCTATTACAATTATTGCAGCATTGTTTTTTTTAGCACTTACTGGTATTTAATTTATCATTTATAGGTAGGTGGAGAATGTTTGGACACAACAAGCACAATACAGAAATAACTCACGTTCTTTGTTAATTTTGAATTCATTCGCTAGTCACACAATGGACTCTGTAAAAAGGCATTTTGGGGAAAAGAATACTGCCTTGGCTTTTATTCCCGGTGATTTAACATCTCGCTTACAACCTCTTGACGTTTCTATGAATAAATCATTTAAATCAAAGGTAAAATCAAGTACAGTCAACTCGTTCTATAACAAACTAACGGTTCTAAAAAAAAAAGGTTCGATATAGAAAATTACTATATTTACTTAAGGATTCATGGTGCTTTTTATTCTGAATTTTTAAAATTTTGAGTTCATTATATCCAGT